CGCAGGGTACCTATATCTCGCTTGGAAAATATCTCGCTTCGAAATCATACAGAAAATAAAACTTTCCCTAAAATGCCCCCACTTGTCCCAATCCAGCAGTTTGGCATGGTGTAAATTAGTGTCTCGTGATAAATTTACTTGCCGTAATTTGAGCTCCCACCACTCACGTTGGCCATTGTCGCACAAACCATGCTCTATCAGAATTGCTAGGCCACAACGGGGTGTATTTACCAACAAAAAGAAAGGTATCCAACAGATGAGGGTTATTTATAGAATTTGCTGCATGGGTACTACACGCACGCACCATCTCGCATTCCTACTCGAGTATGGTTGACGATTGCAGATATCTGTTCTCGTGCCCAGCAGATATCCGGAAGTGAGCCGAGCGGTAATGTGAAAAAAACACCCCATGGCCCCCGCGGTGCAAGTGCGGCCCTGAATGCATGGAGACGTTTACTACAGTACAGATCCGTAGGCACTCTAGAGGAGAGACCTTGGACACTGTCTTGAAGAAATGAAACGGAAGAAAAGGGTGGGGTCATGGGGGAGGGTGGAGATTCTTGGTAACCAGTATTGCCGCTGAGATGCATTTCATTTCGTTGTAATTTGGTAACGACGGAGACCATGTTGATTGGCTGGATACCGCTAGCAATGACTGTTTTGCAGGATGATGGAAACGTTGTGGCCCCGCGAGCGATGATATGTATCACGGGAGCCTACATAATGATGCACCATTGATTTGCTCGAACCAACTCTAATGTGAAGCATCTAAAGGCACACACACCGTGTACCCGGGTTACTGGGCCTGGCAGAACGAGTGCACCTTCCTACTTTATTATGGAGAAGGTTCACCATTGTCCCTTGCGCACCTGAATATAATTGCGGCTACAAAGCTTAAAGTATAGAGCCTTGATTTTGAATTTTTGTCAGGTATGGCTAGAGAGTTTATTGAACTTACGCGTATGGAATGATCCTGATAATTGAAATCATATCATGGCGCCTACTGGCTGGTGCGATGATAAATGTGGAGATGTCTAATAGATGCCATCTCGCCTCGGCTCAGGCGGAAATAATCTTCAGATCGATGGGTCAGGCAGAAGACGGCATTCCAGTTGTAATGGATACTCTGCTCTACGCGCGTCTGCCCTGCCCCCAGCCTTGCGGCTCCGACCGATGGTCTGGACTCCAAATCATTCCAGTATTTTACTCTCCTCTCCACTGAACCGACACCTGATTGCAGCCCCATGCAGACTCTTGTTGGCGACAGGGTTGCAGAGCACAACCATCGCATCCCAATGGCTACGGCCCTGGCCATTCATGCATGCCCCCCCCAGCAGGCGCCTGTTGCAAAAGTCGCAGTTGCAATTGGATCTGCGCGGGGCATATATATGGGATGGCATTGTGGCGAGAGTGAAGGCAAAAGTGGCCGTACTATGGCTAAACCGGGAAACGATCGATGGGCATGGGGAAATTGGGGGGGATGGGAAGGTTGACTCCATATATTCGCGAGTAATCCCGCCCCATCCTCGGTGGGCGGCTTTTTTCTGTATTGGTTTCTGTTGATGCTCTTGTAAACCGCCGTCACTCGACTGATCACCGCGCAGCTCAGAGGACCGCCGACGACACTGCTGTGCCACATATCCGCGAGCATCAACATCACGCTTTGATCTGAAGGAGCAACGAGCGCTTGTGCCAGGCCGCCCAATCACGCCCGAATTCCAGCATAACCTTTCTGCCCCGCCCCCGTTCAATAGAATTCGAAAGGTGTACTGCAGCTGTATAGTACCGCCCCTGCAAGCTGCACCCCCCCGCCACCACGCACGAACCAGCAGCCATATTTCACAGTTAATCAGAAATCAGAAGAGCTGCAGGAACGCAGAGTTCCGCCGCAGCCGTATTGTCCCCGAAGACCATAGTCAGTAAGCAGGCTGACTTGCGCAAGCCCGATCCTGTGCTGTCTTGCCTTTTAATCTATTTCTCCATCCGCCTCCCCTCCACCACCTCTCGAGATCCTTTTGCTCTCACGCGCCTCGGCTCTCCAAAGTGCCTTTCCATCGCATTTTGGGCACCAGTAGCTAAGTGAAACCGCCAGCTAGCAGACCCGGCCATCAACTCTGTCGCATCGTCCGTCCATTCGAATACTCGTTGCCACCTGGACCCGCGAAAGCAAAACCCCACGAAATAAAAGCCGAGATAATGGTTTCGATACGATCAACGCCGGCCACGGCCCTCATCTCGGTCATCCTGCTCTTTGTGCCTCTTGTCTCTGCACATTTCCAGATCCTGTACCCGGGATGGCGAGGAAACACATTACGAGATGAGATGCAATGGCAATACCCTTGTATGCAAACCGCACTTTTTGTTTGTTTGACGGTATTCCGCGTGGGATAGCTTGCTGATTTCTTTTTTCTTTTTCTTTTCAATACAGGCGGCGGCATGGATGTCACCACAAATCGCACGAAATGGCCGATGAACGGAGGAAAGGTTGCTATTATTCCCGGATGGAACGCGGGGCATCCGACCGCATTCTTCTACGTCAACATGGGATACGGCAACCGCCCGGCAAACCACTCGAACGTCATGACTCCCATCTTCCAGATCACCGGCCCAAGCAGGGACGCATATGCCGGCCAGTTCTGTCTCCGAGGTGTTCCGATGCCAGCGAACGCCAGGGAGTGGGGCGGCTTGAAGGCTGGCGATAATGTGACCATCCAAGTCATCCAGGTGGCTTTGCATGGCGCGAGTCTGTACAATGTAAATACCCCATCCCCATCCCCATCCCCGATGTGATTTCTTCAATGTATAGAAAGCGGCGGCTAATTTCTCCCGCGACGACAGTGTGCCGATGTGACGCTTGTGGAGCATGAATCCGAATCGGACCCGATGAAGGACCCCTGCGATAACTCGACTACAATCGAATTCAAGCAGGTGTTTACAACCCGAAGCAGAAGCGGAGCAGTCAGCACGATGACAGGCGTTGGCGGAGGGGCCGCAATGGCGGCAGTGATGGCATGGGGTGTGGTTCTCGTGGGCGGATTGCTGTAGTTGGATGATTTGGCAGTGTGGTGGATGATATGACATCGGGATCTCGGCGGAGTAGGGCAGGGCATGCCCACTCCACTCTCGGGTTTCGCCTCGATTCTAGTCTGCCTCGATTCGTCCCTCCATCCGTACCGTTTCCGGCATACCGAGTCTATATCACCAAATCCACTTCTTCTCTCTTTCCGTCTTGTTTCCTGTCTTGCCATTGCTTTTCCTCTTTCAAGCACGGTGTTTTTTACTCCCTTTTATTAGCCTCGTTTCTCTTTCCTAACCTTTCTTCCTGCCACCTCCACCGCCTACACCTCGTTTGCATGCAGCTTAGATATTGTTCAGCTCACCCTCTCTCTCCTACCTCCTACCCAAGTACTTACGTTGGCGGATATCTCTTCTGGCTTTCATTGTATATATTATGTCATTTTTTGAAATATACGGATCTGGATACACCCCTTAAGCTTGCTACTTACCTACTTTATATTAAATATTTGAAATATCGATATCGTGTCTAACTGATTCCACGATGCAATCGATCATTCTATTTTTGTTAACTCCGCCTTCCCGCAACGAATCGATTTAGACCTCTAGAAATTATATGTCGGGCTATACGTATATGGTGCGGAGCGGAGGCGAGGTATGAAACGTTAACGCTATTCTGTGCATGTGCTACGTAATATATCATGGCGTTATATACCTACTTATGGGCCGTGCTATAGCTACATACGCACTGAACCCTAATTTTTTACCTTGTGAGACTTACCAGATTTTCTTTTGTATATATATGCTTCATGGATATATGCTTGACCAGTTAATGGGAGAGTCGATATCGATGGAGTCGGTGAAGATGATTATATTGATGATGCGTATATTATATTGATGATACGCGCCAGATCTGGAAGATACGTTCCATATAGGTGTGAAATTTACTCTACTTTAAACTTGAATTTGTCAAAAACAAAAGTTGCGATATTCCATCCCCAAAATCGGTAGACTTGATGCATACATTTTTTTTCTGGGATTGCATTATGGAAGAAAAATTAAACGGAAGCATGATGATTTGAATCAGCGTAATAGGTAGGAATGGAGGGTGAGGGAATTCATTTTTGGAAGAAGACACAAATCTTCTCATGAGGACGGTTTCTGGAAAACATGCTATATAGCTTGATCGAAATCGAGTCTGTCTCGTTTTTCCTGGCCTTCCCTATCGTATACGCACGTGTTGATCCATTCGAAGTAAGCCTAAGTAGATCTAGAACAGTTTCGTTTCTTGGATATTATAGAAGCATCGGTAACGGAGGTAAAGCTGGGTATTTCCCGAATATTGTGATTCCCATAATTACATGGAAGTTGAATTCCGACGAACGTCGTATACCGGAAATTCAGATGTATATAGATACCATTGTTATCCATGTTTCTGAATTTGCATCCAGACAAAAAGATCGATATCAATTATTTGAAGGAAGGAATTCATCGATGGTGTGGCCATGGCCGACATTAATTTTCGTGGACCTCGATTGATATTAATATTGGCCATGGTATCTCATCATCCACTCCACACTTACTTAAACTTCCGGAGCCTAATCCAATTAAATCTCTTCTAATTTCTGTTGAGATGAGCTGTATCGCTGTGAAATTTGAATACGAATTTCAGAAAGCCGAAAATCAAACATGTATTAGGATACCTAAAGTTTGTGGGGGATATCAGGGTAATTCATGATCAATTTACGCAAACTCGGATGAAGCTGAAAATTGGCCATGGATGTAAACTACCAACTAGAGAAAAGAGAATCAAGCTGAATACCTATTCTACAAGCAATATCCCTCTTCTAACTCAGCACGCAGCTTTCTATTCCATCGGCAAAAGCTCACACGAAAAGGGAAAATTCTTTACACGATCCGACAGACACACGGTGAGCCAGCCAAAGCCTCATAAACCACTCCCCTTTTTCGCAGCACATCAATTCGGTCTTATGGCGCAATTGGTTAGCGCGTCCGACTGTTACTTTACTTCTCTCCTAGAGAATAAATAACATCGGCATCGGGAGGTTCAAAGTTCGAGTCTTTGTAGGACCGTGGTTTCCTTTTTTTTTGCTGCTTCATTTGATTTTTTACTTTTATCTTCAAACTTTCAATAATATTGCCTATTTACAGTTGCGTTGGTGTCCAGGTTGAAGACTAGAAGACCAATTCCCCGCGAATATAATACAACTTCAACAAGACCTGAGACTAGTACTCCCCCTCGTCGTGTTGTCAAATTTGGTCGATGTGTGGTACTTCCCTTCTGCATCCATGTTTTTGTCGAATATTTGTCTTCCCGACCGACGGAGTTCTGTGATAGTTATATCGACAGACAGACTACAAGTATCCACCGTAGAGTATCAGAGTACAAGTTCACTTTATCCGAGGGCATCGATGTAGCTGTAGAGGGTAATGCAACGCAATTCGGCATCATCATAATCTCAAAATCCGAGGCTTTGCATGACCGGATCTGTTGGCTCTTCCGATGGCGGTGTCTAATGCAGTACAATCTCTCTACAATCCTCATCGCCCTCCTGCGCAACCAAGAGTGGCGTCATCGACGGCGTTAAATCTTTCTCGCTCTGGTCGTCAACGAGCGCTACATCCTCACGATCATCATCCTCATCCTCGGTAACTAAGATCGGTCTCGCATGTCTTGCTTCATGGCCATAGAGATCATGAGATCTCGAGCCGGCGCCACCCGCGGCGGCCATATTATTCACCGCAACGAAATTACTATACCTCCCCCACCCCCTCCTAGCAATCGCCCTCGCCTCGGCCCCAATTGAGCGCAGCTTCTCCTCGATGGCACGGATACTCTCACATCGTGCGATACTGCTTGGTATGCTCGGCTTCCTGATTGTGACTGTGGTCCCGACGCCACGGGCGCGGTTCAGGGGGATGTTGATGAGGCTTTCCCAGAGCGGGGTCTCGCGCGTCCTGCTGGAGACGTATTCACCAGCGGGGTAGGCGTAGTTTGAAACGAAGTTCATGATGATGGCGGTGGTGGTGGTGGTGGTGGCGGATTTGGATCGGTGGATTGAAGTTTTGCAATGTGGGTGTGGTGCATGTTACGGGGGGTGGGCTAGAGGTGTGTGTATGTTTGGAGCTCGAGGTAATGGGAGGGAAATACGTAAACTTGGAAGGTGGGTTTGGTGTTTATATATATATCAATCAATGGAAATCGATATGGAGTGATGGGTCCGAGCCATGGGGCTTTGGGATATGCCTCCTACATCATGTCTACCTTGGGGAGGCCACCCACATACATGAGCGAATGTGGGTTTATTCGATACTACTTTCCTTGCGCTGCACAGTTTAAATCCGTTAGAACGAAACCGTCGTTGTTTAACATGCCTGGGGTAGCGTATATGAGGATAGTCTATAGCCCAAACGGGAAAGAACTAATTATAATATAGAAAAGCACATGAATTCAAGTAATCGGCAAGGCATCTATAGAGTAGACCAGAGCTCGGGGGCGTATTAAACGTGGGTAGAGGCACGAGGCTAGTGGGTAGAGTATTATATTTACCAACTAATTGGGAAACGGGTAATGCCTGCGCTCGAGTTTAGGCAACTATTTAGTAAAATTGTGGCATTGCATCGAATGGACGTCCACTATGCTATAATATGGAATCTAAATCAACTTTAAAGCTCATCATGAGCTCAGGCAAACGCAATGGATGTGAACGTGCTTCGTTTCTCATCACTGGGAGCTAAATAGTACTAATGACAACGACACTGCCAAAGAAGAGTGTTTGAATAACAAAAAAAAAACCCCGAAAAAGTTGTTATTATAAACTTGAAAAGAAAAAGAGAAAACATGAATAGTTTCGTACATATATCTCTGGATAGTTGTACAAGAGATATGTGGTAATATGCAGTGACATGTCATTAATAATATGATGATGTTGCTGATGATGATGGTGATGATGATGATGATGATGAGTAAGGCATGAATAAACCTCCGCTTTTTTCGGCCACCTCGCTGACGACAGGAGGTGATTCCACTCTCTATCGCCGCCACCAAGGTATAACTCCTCCCCCACTGTCCTCCGACGACACTCCCGGCGCCAACTATCGAATTTCAATTATGCTTTTAGATTCCCCCGATGGGAATCGTCTACCACCTCCCATATCGACCCTCGTCCCGCTTAACATTATGTAGTTTTGGTGGCTCAATCAAGTCCAAGCCACATACGTTCTATTGGTTCACCATCGAGTGTCAGTCTCATTTCCAGTGTGTTTAGGCTCTGGACATGACATACCTTTCTTCGCTGCCTGTAGTCATCATAGAGCCACAACCATGCCTTTCTGTCGCTACAATCTTCCGCACCATCGGCATCGAGATTCGGAACTCCCTCTGAGATTTCATCTTCTGGCTTTGGTATTCTTGGGCGGCAAGCTGGGGTCAACTCTGCCAGCTTATCGGCGTATGGGAGGTACCAAGGCTAATTGAGTTTTCGTTAGCAAAAATTGAGCAGGTGGCTGCGGGAATTTGGGAGTCAACTAACCTTTGGCCTTGGCCAGTCCGAGAAATGCACATACGAAGTCTCCTCCAATATCTTTTGTGCATCCCACGCCTCATTCACGCCGGCCTTTGTCGCCCCACTGAGTCCGAGATACCGGTCGTAGGCGTCGGGGTTGGAGTGGTTCTGGCGGAACTCTCCACTGAGGAGGTTGATGCCGCGGTGGGGGAGGACCATGGCCTCTGGCCCAAGCACCCAGTTGATGATCTCCATGTCGTAGTCTCCATCACCCTTGGTCTTGACCGCCTCGAGGAGCTTCGCGAAGACGTGCTCGTTTGGGGTTGCGATGAGGACTTGGGCGGAGAGGATGGTCTTTGTGCCGCCGACGGGGTGGCGCTCGGGGGGGTTCGGCATCAGCCAGTAGGCGCGGGGGATGGCGAGGGGCGTCGGAGGGAGGAGGAAGAGGTGGTCGAGGTTCTGCAGGAACGTGCCGTCGCTGTCGACGAGGATCGTGCGGTCGTAGTCGGTCTGGTTGAATGCGAGCAGCTTGGTGTATCCGTCCGCCCAGGTCTCTGCATCCAGTCCGTCAGTATCGGCTGGCCTCCCGGGGACGGGCGGGGCGGGGACATACGCTCGGCGCCGGCGGCGTGGATGATGCCCACGGGCCGCAGCTTCACCTTGAACTTGTCCTTTGCCTTCTCCATCAGCTTCCTGTCCTCCTCCGGCAGCGCCATCCAGCGCTCGTCGCCAACCTCGCCCCAGGCCTCGGGATACATGAGCACCCTGTCGGCCTTGCTCTTGAGCCTGTTGAGGCTCTGGAAGATCATGATGCTGCAGCACAGAAACTCCGAGGCCGTCACGTACTGCAGGTACGCAAACTTGCCCCAGTCGACCACGTCCGTCCCCTTGCCGGTCTTGAGGTCCGCGGGGGACAGCGGCGCGGGCTTGGGCGGGATCTCCTTGACCTTGGGCACCTTTCTGTGGCGGGGGTTCGTGTCCTCGCCGCCGTAGGCCCACGAGCCCTGGTAGAGGAGCAGGCCGAGGATGAGCGTCGTGAAGACGATGAAGATGGGCTTGAGCCGCAGCATCGTGTCGGCGGCGGTGTCGGTGTCGCACTTGTTGAGGCCGAGATCCAAGCTGCGATAGCGGGCGGGTGGGAGGTGTCGGATACGAGAGCAGTGTCGGATGTGAGACACAGCCGCGGATCAGGGTCTCTGGCCTGGGCGGGTGCGAGGGACGTTTGATGAGGGGGGAATGGGAGAAGATGGCGGGCGGGAGCGAGCTGGCTCGCTGGCCGGCCTTCCTTGAGCCCGTCGGTCGCGTCCTCTCCAGACTAATGACCGGCTTGCACGATAGCCAATCGCCTAAAGCCGATGTGCCCAGCAGCCGGCCTTTGCCCCTGCCGGCTCGGATGATGCGTGTGTGCTTGCGTACGCTACACCAACGACGCTTACTGCCTTTCCGTCCGTACCGACGGGTTTAAACCCAAATTATCTCGGTATTCTCATCAAACTTCATATCGATGACAATCCATCCATTCACGTTATAAAACTTTCAGCGCATAGTATATATGACTGTGAATTTGCATCTTACAAGGCTTGTTATACCAACTGCGAGAAATTCATATGCATCCAGTTACAATTTGTGTAATCAGGAAAACAGCCAAAATACATACAATCTGTACGATATCTCAATAGCCTGGTTGTGCAACGCCGCCCACTTTCTTGACCATCTTAATTCACAATTAATACGGTACATTGTAGGTTTGATTTATTAGCAATGCACATGCATCGAAAAAAGATCCCTTTCCTCCCATGGACTACCCCCACAGCCAGGAAAATTAAAAAAACAAAACAGCCCATGAAGATTAATATAAAATACCAAAACGTCAACAAGAGAAAAGAAATGACTGAAAGAACTTCCATACCCGATATAAAACATAAAATTTGAACCCCTTTTGCAAGTGTAATCACCGCCGCTATCCCTCCTCGAAGCTTCATCAATCGCCTCGATCCCGTCATCACTTCCCTCATACCACCTCTTCACAATCCCATCTCCACCTCGGCAATCAATAGATAACGACATTCTCGACTGGAGGCCCCGGATGCTCACAATTCACAAATGCAACTCCCACTTTCCGATATCCGTGCCCTTTGTCCGCCGCCTTTTCCAAAACGACTGCCCATTGATTATGACCCTCACAAGGCCACATCAAGAAACACTCCTTCAGGCGCTCGCGGCCCCCAGCCTCCTCGAATGGAAACCACACAAAGGAAATCATATTGTCAGACTCCACGAGCCAGCGGTTCCATCCATCAAACAGGTCACGCAGCTGGCTACTCACAGCATTCGCGCCTTGAGCATACACTGCTTCTTCAACCATCTCGAGAAGCTTGGTGTCTTTGGGGCCTTTGAACCCAACGTCATACGATCGTGCAGTCTGAATGCAGGCCTCAACCGTTTCGCTGGTTTCTGCATCATCATGAGAAGCAGCTTCGATAATTGCGTTCAAGAGTATTTGGAGAACTGCGGAGATGTCGGGCTTGCGGACGGACGCTGCATAGCTTTGCAGTTCATACAATATTC